TTGACACATTAACATTATAAACGAGTTTAAATTTCCCTATAATAATCTATTGGATCATCACAATTGTTATCGCGGAAATAAAATGGATTTTTAGATTTTAGACTGTTAAAATAATAAAATAAGAAGACTATCAGAAAAAGTGATGTATCTTCTACCAGAGAACCCTAATAATAACATTTTTATTGTCAGCTATGTTCGGGAAATTATAATTTAAAGAATACGACCCTATACAAACAATTTAGGCATATTTGAGGTCACACATATCGAGACAGATAAGTTAAAGAATCAATCGATATGGATTAAAAAACTTGGCGCTGTAATAAAGTGTATTTTCATATCTTTACCTTTTAAAATAAAGCAAAATGTAATACTAGTATTATACGTTGATTACAAACCATGATACATCTATCTTCAGGTGGATGAATCTAGCTGTCATATAAAGTCAAACTTTTTGCTTTGTCTCATATCGTTACCTCCTGAAATATGTGATATTGCTCATCTTCACATATTCAAGTTCTTAAATAGACAAAGAAATTAGACAATTTTCAATGTTTCTTTAAGTCTATTTTAGGGAATAGTCAGGAGAGGAGATCTGATTAGCACCAACATATTTTAAGAAGAAATAGTTACTTAATTGACGTATTGCTTTCAAAACTAAGCAAAAATATGTATGTATATGATATACCGGTAAGATCTCAAAACTTGATTTTCCACTATGCTACATGCTAGTGGCACACTTTCTACTAGAAAAGCGAAAGTATTTATTGCTCTTATTAAATATTATTGTAACACATCAGTCAATAAGACGAGTGACTAACTAAGAAAAACAAATTTTTTCTGCCAAAAATCGATTTTACTCATCAATATAATCTCCTTCAAGTACAATACAATCATTCCAACGCTTCTCTAACTTCTCGATGCCGTGCTTGTAGAAGGATTTGTCTTTTACCTCAAAATAGGCTTCAGTTTCAGCAATTACTTTTTCATTTTAGATGAATTTCTTACCGGCGAGCATATTTTTGAGATCAGCGAATAGCCAGTAGTCGCTGGGGCCAGATATGGACTATACGGTGGATGAGGAAGCAATTCGAAGTGTAATTCGTGAAATTTTGCCATCATTTTTATTGACTTGTGACATGGTGCATTGTCTTGGTGAAACAAAATTTTTTTCTTCGCCATATGCGGTCGTTAACGTTTTTTCACAATTTTTGCTTTCAAACGATCCAGTAATGCCGTGTAGTAGTTACTATTGATGGTCGAAATGTTTTTCCCTTTTCGATATAGTCAATGAAGATTATACCATGTGCATCCCAAAATACTGATCTTGAAATACTTACATGGTCATTTAGAAGTTTGTAATGCAGCAGGAAAACACATTTGTTTGTGTTGCTTTACGCAGATAAAATTGTATTGCTAGACCCATGTTGTGTAAAGTATCACTTCAGTTTGCCAATTTCGTATTTTAACTATTACTTTTGAACTTTTTGGTTGCATCTGAATTTTAAAGAAAATCCTTACATATATACAACTTAGTTTTGACTGAGTGAAGAGACACAGACAGCCTCGGCTCACATTTTCTCTTAGTCTCAGTTTTTTGATTTGCATTGAAAGCAACAATAATTTTGATTTTTTCGTGCCCATGACACTCTACATAATATGGGCCCTAGCGATTGCAGCTGGATCACGATAAAGGATATTTCGTTTAGAATCGTTTTGCTTGATTTATTTTTTCCGAATCATTGATCATGTTTTTTAGAAAAGGCGGACGATTGAGAAAAGCCGAGCATTCGTTAAAATCGGTAAAAAGTTTTTAGAATCGGTAAAGGTTTACCCTAAACCCAAATACTTAGGTGTGACTTTAACAAACAAGATTGATTCTCAAAAAGATGTGAGGAAGTAAAACGTGGTAGCAAAAACTTTAAATTTCCAGCTACATAATTATGCTACTCTTTTATAGACGATGCCTGAGCGTGAGATAAAAATCAAAGTATTAAATATAATATATTAAAATGGAAAATTTTTTGTCTTTAATAAAAAAAATCATGAATTCTGAAAAGGTGCAGTCAATTGGAAAAACATTTCTGTGTAAACATATAAACAATCGAACTTATTGTTCCACCAGTCAAACCAAAAGCGAACGGAACATACTTCCGTTGAACAAAATCATATAGAAAAAGCTCTAATAATATTGAACCAAATGCATACATAAGATATATAAATAAGTTTTTGTTTTTAAAATTAATTATTAAAAAACTTTAACGATTGTAATTATTAGACAGAAATATTTTATTATGATACCTATATGACCTACGATGATCACGCTGCACAGTGAAACAAAACAGAAATTAGGCAATCAAAATTCGATATTTTCGGAACCAGTAAAGATATTGACATGAAATTTTTCTAAATACCGTTTTTAAGATGGTCTTTCCTTTAAACTTAATTTGAGCCTCATCCGTGGACCGAAACACCTCTAAATTTAGGATGAAAATCGGGGCATATAGCGATGTCCTTAGTAACCTCAAAAATTATAATAGGTAGATAGTTGAGTTTTTCATTAGTTTCTCCTTAGTTCCTAAGTTATTTTTGGATTTATGCAATTTCATCGAAATTGCGATTATATAACTTTTTTACTACTTTTTCTAATATGAGCATTTTATATTCTTTTTATTCATTTTTATTCATTATGTGTAAAAAGAGTCTTAATTAATAAATTTTTACAAAATGTTAGCAATTTTTTCATGACCATTTTCACTTTTATCTGCGATACCCAATAACCTTTATTGGGTTATTTTATAAAATAACTGAGTTTTTTATAAAATTTTTCCTACTATTAGTCAAATGGTAAGAAGACAAAAACTCCTCCTGCGCTTTCTATGTTTTAGGCCCCAAAAGTCACTAGATAATTATGCAAAATATGACCTTTAATAAACCTCACTTATTTCAACAACAAATTCAAAACGTGATACTATAAGGGCATTTCCTATTTTATAAATATTTAATTTATTCACACTTTTTCTGCTTTTCCCTAATAGGTAAAAGAATTCTTATAGGCGAAAGATAATGCATCGATAATTTGGAATTAACCTTCGATGCGAATACCATATTAAATAAATGTATTTAATGTATTAAGCTCAGTATATCATAGGAAAACTATTGATGCTTTATTGATACCTAGAAATACTAGAAAAGAAAGAAAAAAATAGAAAAAGCACGATTGAAGTGATAGTTTTTTGATGTTAAAGGTGTGAGAAATCAATATAACTGAGTGGTGAAATCAATATAATTTTGTAGGGAAATCGTTATCACTGCTACAAAGCATTCAAATGTATCAACAAAGAATCAAAAAAAAAAAAAAAAAAATCATTTACACTGTTTGTGAAAAATATATGTACATATATATGTATATCTATTATTTTATTCATTTTAAAATGATAATAAAATTAATATTATATATTATATAAAAAAGAACTGCAAAGAATTTATATATGAAAAATACACACAAAAATTTTACAAAATATTAAAGTGAAGTATAGCTTAAAGTAATAAATTTCGCTCATTGATTCCTTAAAGCTCCTTAAAACATCAATAAACCATTGATATCATTACGATTCTTCTGGCATCAATACCACTATTAGTTGTTGGGTTAATATGAATCTATGAAGGGAACGTAAGGTGTTTGCATATTTGCTTTTACTTAATACATTTCACCTCTGCTAAATACTGTTCTATTTTGCAATTATTAAGCAACCCTGTCCCAGTGACTGGTCGTGGTGTCTCTCTCTCATCTGAGTTTATTCACATATATGAGCACTAATTTGATCTTTTTATAACTTGGTTAAATTTGAATGTATCATTTATTTGTTTTGGAATTTTTTTTTAACCATATTAATAGATTTTTATATATCTTCATAATTATATTTAGATATCAATAAAACTTCAATTAATTTCATTTCAATTTCTTTTCTTTACATGGCTTTGCACTCACTTGGACCCTGAACTGCATTTAACATGCCAACGCACTTCGGAAATCATCGAAATAATGATAACAACATCACAATAACAACCACTGCCATATCAATAACAATGTAAAACAAAATATCATCTTCAAATCAATGATATCAATAAAATTGTTATGCTCCTACGATTGAAATGATGATATTGGCACTTGGTCTCGCCATTGACATATGTGTTGTGGCGGCTCTACACTCTGCTGTTGTTGATGACGTCCATACCGGCCAATGCACAAAAAAAACAAAATTAAAAATTTGTTTTATATTACCCAACGTTATCCGGAAAAAACTCACGACTGTACGACTATGCGACTGTAACCACAACAACAATAATCACCAACATGCAATAATAACATCACAACACATGGCCGCGAATCTATCAAAAAAATCTGAAATGGATTTTTTATTTCTTTGCTATTATATTACAAATAAATAAAAAAATCTATTCAATGAAATAAAACGCCGGCTTCCGTGCGGTAAACTTCCTTCGCAACTTTCCATACCATTTTTGAAAATATTTAAATGCCGGAATATTCACACTCGTGTATATGAATTCTTGTGTTTGAATATGTATTTGTGCTCCGGCAAATATGTTGCATATTGATATACATTTATCTACTATATATTTACATGCATGTATGTGTGTATGTGTATGTGTATGTGTATAAAATGTGCCCATAATGTTTGCCAAAACTCCGGAAAAAATTGGTTGGCATATTTTCATCTTTTGGCTTTTGCCTCGATTTCGTTTTTGTTTGCTATGAACACTTGACCCATGCCATGGACTTACTTATCTCATTGCATACGGACCTACGTCATTACATTCACTGCCGTTTCAATTTCATTCCACGCCATGTTTTTTATTTGTGTTCGAACGTCCAACGTTTTCATAACAATATGCATTCATATACACACAAACATACATACATGAATACCTGTATGTGCGACTATTCAAACGCTTGTGTAACGGACCTTTCATATGTGCAGTACCGCCGGATATCCTAGATTATCCCACAAGCACGGACATCACTGCAACCGAGGGCAACAACGTGACGCTGAAATGCGCTGCTACCGGCTCGCCAGAGCCAACAATTACTTGGCGACGTGAGAATGGGGTACTAATTGAGCTAGCAAACGGTACAGAAGGTAAGAGTAACTTCGGCGGCGACTGCTGCTGTTGCTGCTTGCAGCTGTTATTACGATAATGTCCGCGACCATTCCGACTACCAATTTTAAGTTTATAAATTTTAATGTTTATGTAGAGGTGGTTCACCTACATGCACACCTACTGTGCATGTAGGTAGTACATGTTCGGTGGGTAATTTGTAGTAGTTCATAGGTCATAAATGTATGAGTTACAGTGGATATTACCAGCAGTCAAAACAAAAAACGATAAATTAAAAAAATTCTTAAAAAAATGGTAAAATATTACATACATTTCTACATCACATTCATACACACACACGCACATATACACACATGAAATGGTGCTTTTCTAATTGTGTTTGTTGTCTGAGTTCTATTGCTGCACCCAGTTTGGTATTTCTGAATGTAGCATAGTGCTTATTTACCACAAAAAAGAGTTGCCGCTACTCTTGCCGCTAACATGGCAGGTTTAACGGGTTTGACTGGTTTGGATAGCAGGAAAGCAGGAAAGCAGGAAATACCATTTTTCGAGTACCTTTTCAAAAAATACCACGCTCGCAATTCGGTAGCTCACAAAGGTACAATTTTCACTATGGGTTCGGCAATGTTTGCTAGTTTCTTCACGCTTTCGTTGCTTGCAGATACCGCACTCCATTGCCATCTTGCCAAATATGAATGAGGCCGGAGCTCACTCGTAACGCTTAAATACTTTGAAAAACACGAAACTTTCTAATCAAATGTTGAAAATCGTATGAGAGCATTAAATGAAACAATAAAAAAAAAAACTTTCAAAATAACTAGAAATAACAAAAACATTCCAATAATATTAAATTCAAAAATGAAGTGGATTAAATGTCTGTGCTTGGTCCTATTTATTTACGGTCAATCTTTCTTGTTGTTCTGGTTGTTGTAGCATCAAACCTTTTTAACGTTTCGATTTCTGGTGCTTTTATTCCAATGGTGCACATTTCAAAATATTTGATAGAAAAGTTTTCATTAGAAATATGATTATTATAGTTAATCTAAAGTTCACAGACAGTTATCTAAGTCAAAGAAAAAGAAAATTAAAAAGATTTTCAAGATTATTTTTCGCATTATGATAAGATTACTCAAGTCACATGTTAACAATCTTAAGTGAAATGTCTTACTAGCCGTCTTTTATTAGTTAAGCCAATTAATTCATTGGCTTGTTCTGCTAATGGATCTTGTCAATATGTTGTCCTTATGAGAAATATATATAGGAGCTTGAACCATATTATGAGCATATTAGAGAAGATTATTGGTTTCACAGAGATCAAGTTAAGAAGTTGTCTGTTTATTAGATGGCACTTACTTTCAACAACTCTGAGCTGGAGCCAAAATTTATTTTTTTCGCATTATTATTTTTAGGCCTACAAATAATCGGAACTGGAAGCCAGATGCGAAAAATTTGTTAGATAAGAAAGCAATTCTTCCATTTCTTTTATCATTTTGATCAACTTATGGGATGATCTATCGAATTGGTAAAAGACTTACGTTTTGATTTGTTGAGATCTCAAAATATGTGTTCGAAATGAATAGAGTTTAAATGGTGAACTGGTTTTTATTTTTTTTTATTACAAAATGTCAAGCAATATTATTTTTTTATCATAATATAATGAAATTTGGTGTGCATAGATTACTACAGTTATTAAAAAAACAATGTTAACCGCGACCTTTAAGTTTTAGGGATAGTGCTATTATGCCTGGGAGGAGTTTTTGATGGACATTTTTTAAAACAATAAAATTTTTTAAATTTATTTTTCGAACTGTCTGGCTGTAGGTCTCTTTTTGTTAAATAATAAAACTTTAATACATTTTATTAAACCCTATATTTTGACTCTTCTTGAGAGTAATAATCATCAGGATTGCGATTATAAGTTAATATTATTAAAACTGCATACACGTTCTCCTCTTTGTTCTATTGTCTATATGACAATATATGACAATATTCTCCCTTTTGTTCTATTGTCTATATGACAATATATGACAATATAGACCATGGAACAAAGAGGACGACGTTTATGCAATCGTTTCGGCCTCCTCAGATTTCGTAGACAGTGCCTTTACCTAGTATCACTACGAATGAAGTCATTTTTCTCAGGTTATCATATGCTACCTCTATATACCTGTATATATATATATATATATTCCATATATATATTCCATTCTTTATCAACTCAGTAGTTCCTTTGTGTTTTCAATATCAACTTATTTGAATATTTTTTAAATTATATTCTTTTTAGAAAATTTTTAGGAATTTGTACTTAAATTTGTTTTCTATTTTTAAACATTAATTCGAATACTTAAATCCTTGGTTTACTGTGACTGTTGTTGTTTTGTTTGTTATTGGTGTTTACTTCTGTTATTGCTATTTCTGTTGCTGTCATTTAAATGAGTGTTGAAAAGTTTTTAGTACCAATAATAATCATTTGCTATACACAGTTTGGGTTATTATTAACAACTAATACTTGGTTTAAAAACTTTTCCATTCACTTCAACACACAGTACAGAAAAAGCATAAAAGGCAACTTTCATAAAAGAGTCCATATGGCGAGGACCTCTTCATAAAAACTCTGTCCTCTTTTTATGAAACATTTTTTGTGCTCTTTTTATGTTTTATAAAGTTTTTTAATATTTTTACACAATTTCAGTTATTTTTTATTATTATGTTTGTTATTATTGTAATATTGTAAATGCTTGCATATTATCATTCTGCCACTATTTGGTTTAGTATCTGGTATCTATTTTTCGCAATTGCTAGTGCTATGGCTTTTGCCATGACTCTCACCGCAACAACGCTATGAAATGTTTTAGCATATAAAGCAGATACGGAAGTATGGTTAGTTTGCTGCTGCAAATATCGGAACCTTTTTTTTTGTTGTTACTTTGTACACGTTTACAGTGTACTGTGTACTGAATATTATGTATATAAATATAATAGTATATTCGTGTATATCCTATTATACTACATTGCGTATCAAAGTAGTATTTATATTAAAATACTTAAATAATTTCATCGCTAAAAAATTTCACATACAAATGATAATGCATTCATTCCGATAGGTGGTTAAATATCTCCATGAAGACCAATTTGACAAGCATTTTTTAGTGCAGTGACTTTCTTATTTGTGTGAAGTACTACTTAGGGTGACAGTAATGTTTTATTTATTTTGGTTTATCACTTCCTAGGTACTAACTGTAGTTTAAGCTATATGCTGTCTACTTAAAAGGCGAGTTTTCATATATTTGAGGAGACCGCTAGTTACTGTAAATGCAAAATTATATTTAATTTGTGAAAATAATCAAAAATAAATTATCAAATGAGCAAAGATAATGAACAAAGATAATAAAATAAATATCAACTTCAGTAAAATTTTTTGAACAACTCCATATTTATGGATTAAATTTTTGCAGCGGCTTACCGGAAGGCGCCTTCAATGAACCTCTATTGTAACATATCAAAGCGGCATGTTCCATCAAAATAATGCTTTATTAAACCATTAAAAAGTTGTAAGAAGAGTTAATAGTCTAAACCTGCAGAATAGCCTTTTTTTGCTTTCTAAAATACTGACATTATCACAATATAAGCCGTTATTTCATGATCTATGATCAAGTTATAGAGTCGAAAGATCAGTCTTCTAAAATGGTCTAGATATTACTGATAAAATTGCATTCGATTGCGCTGTTGCTACCTAATGTGGCACAGAATTTGTTTCAATGATATAACATAATATACTTTTGATACAATTGTCTCCTGTTGATGCAACAAATGTCGGAATTAATTCCTCTATTTTAGCACCTTTTTTTGTATAATATATAAACACTGCATAATTTTCGACTTTTTGCATTATTGAAAAATGAGGAACGTTTCTAGGGGATATGTTGGACTTACATATTACAAAAAAAAATTTTTAAAATATATAACTGTTTTAAAACTTTTGGTCTAAAGAAAGAAACCCATCACTTAGCTTTCTGTCGCCTTTCCAGTTCAAATTACATTTACAATTCTTCTATCCATTATTAAGTCTGATGGCTTACGATTAGAGCCAATGTTCTTATAGAAGCTAGACACTAAAAGGTGTGCTAGCTATAGTCTAGAACATTCTTTTTGTAGGGGTTAACATCGTTGAAATAAAAAGATATTAAAAACCTAAATAAAAATAAGATACAAAAATAAAAGCAAAACAGAGTGAGAAGCTTGAAATCAAAATTATGAACTGAAAACATACTTATTAGCTGATTGTATTTATCTTATATAATATTTCTATTATTAATCAAATCGGTTTGTTTGAAAGTAGAGATAATAATAGTATCAAGGAAATTTTGTTTTTTAAAATAGACAATTCTTTGTACTCACATAATGGGATTCAAATTAAAAATTTTTTTGGAACTATAATATCTTACAAAAACTATCTAACTAGAATTGCTAGGATGTTTTGCAACACAAATGTTACATAAATATACAAACTGATATCGCTTAGGAACATTGTACTCATTTTGATATTAACACACCCATAGCCAGAGTAAGTATAGTCAAGCTTCGACTAAAAATAAATAAAAATAAAATCCTCATCAAAAAGAATTAGAATGAGCACTAGCTTAACTAACAGGAGTAGTAGTAATAGCAGTAGTAATAGCAAAATTAGTAACTGTTCCAATAGTAGTAAGAGTAGCAGTAGTACCAGTATCATTGGTGATAATTGTTTTACTAGCAATTATAGAACTATTGTACCATTCTTGGTAGCACTACTAGAAGTGGTTGTCACGTCCCCAAACTTATACTATACAATTACAGTAGCCAGATAGTTTATTTATATTTTCATATGTATGAAAAATATGAATATGAAATGCATATACGTATTTAATATGCGACTCGCACTGCACTTCCTTTCTGGCCTTTCATACTTATTCAAACCTTTGGTATTTTTCTGTACTCATAGGTAAACAAATCGATATTTGTTTTAGCTTAATTTTGCATG